AATCCGAAGAAACAGTTGGTCGAAGATGGTAGTGGATGAGGTTAACAAAAGAGTAGTGTGTCGGATTTCGAGGTCAGTCGAATGTGACGCGCTGAGTGTGGAACATGGTGGCCACTCACTGTCTTTCTTGGATAGGAAGGCAGGTCCGTTCCACCACATTGAATGTTGCATTAATTCTGTTGGGTAGAGTCCACGAGACGCACAGTCAACTGGATTTTCACCGGTTGGGACGTAACGCCACAGCGATGGTGGTGTGAGACTCTGAAGCTGGCTGGTTCTGTTTGCGACGAATGTAGCCCATCTATGTGGTGAAGATTTTATCCACGCGAGAGTGGTAGTCGAATCCGTCCAGGCATGCATCGCTTCGACGGGGAGGACAGACTTGAGGACTTCTTGCACATAATGTAGCAGTTGAGCGGCCAACACAGCTCCACACAACTCGAGACGGGGAATGGTTACTCGTTTTAGAGGTGCAACTTTTGATTTCGCGGTGATAAGATGGCATTGAATTCCTTCTCGGTGCTCACAACGCAGATATACGGCTGCCGCGTATCCTTTCTCAGAACTGTCTGAAAATGCATGGAGTTCGTATTTGACTTCTCCGTCCATGGTTATTCGGCGTGGAACACTCAAATTCTGGATACTTTTCAGGTCGCATTGATACCGCTGCCAGATTGTAAGAATCTGTTCAGGAATTGGGTCGTCCCATCCGATCCCAGACGTCCATAGCAACTGCATTAAGTGTTTTGCTAAGAAGGTGGTCGGTGAAAGGAGACCAAGCGGGTCGAAGATGCGAGCGAGATCCGATAGAATCGAGCGTTTGGTAGTTTTTGTGCTAGGACGCTGGACGGAATAGAAGAAATGGTCCTGTTTCGGGTTCCACCGCATGCCGAGGATTTTCAACCCGGCTTCCAACTCGTCATCGAACAGAACGTCAGTAGACATAGATCGGTCACATTCCGGAATCGATTGGAGGACCACGGACGAGTTACTGGCCCATTTCCTGAGCTGGAAGTGTCCTCGGGAGCATAGTGAGATCAATTGTTCTTGACGTTCAAGCGCGGATTCCGGGGTGTTGGCCCCTGTAAGGATGTCGTCAACGAACGTATCATGCATGATGATCTGAGCGGCGGTGGGGTAGGTGTTCTTTTCGAGTTCGGCTAGGTACTGCAAAGTGCGTAAGGCCTGATGAGGCGCACAGGACGTACCATACGTGACAGTGCGTAAACGATATTCTTCGATAGGTTTATCACGATCAAAGCGCCATAGAATTCTTAGATAATCACGATCTTCCGGATGGATTTCAATCTGCCGGTACATTTGTTTAATGTCCGCAGTGAACAGAATCTTATGGGTTCGAGCACGAATGAGGATCTGTGGTAGATCCTGTTGAAGTTTTCGACCAGTGTACAAACTGCTATTCAGTGTTCGTCCTGCAGTGGTAGTAGCGGATGCATCGAAGACTACCCTGAGTTTTGTCGTATGACTTTCCGGACGAAGGACGCAGTGATGTGGTATGTAATAACAGTATGGCGTCATTCTTTGGTTCATAGGAACAACTTCCATATGCTGACTAGTGAGGTAATCGGTCATAAACTCCAGGTACTGTTTTGAGAGACCTTCATCACGTGATAATCGGTTCTCCAAGTAGTGAAGTCGCTTTAGTGCCATGCCTTTCGAGTCTCCGAGGATCGGACGTGGCTGTTTAAATGGTAGTGCAACACTGAATCGCCCAGATGTTAGACGTTTGACGGACGATAAAAATATTTCTTCAGCTAGAACTTCATCGGGACTCAAGTGTTGCAGTTGAGGTGGCTCTTCTATTTCCCAAAATTTAGTAAGAGAGTTTTCGAGTGCCGTTTCAGTGGTCACTAACATTGACGTGACTGTATTTGTTGTGATTGGTGCCATTGGTCCCATCAAAACCCATCCAAAGATAGTTCCGAAAGCAGTCGGATGTGATTGATGACCAGCAACACGGCCACCAGTCAGGATCGCTGGGGCGACATCTGCCCCAAGCAGAATGTCAATGGGCCCTTGAATATTGAAACTTGGGTCTGCTAACTCAAGCTTATTTAAATGGGGCCACGCAGTGAAATTGAATGTTGTTTGAGGTAGGTAGTCAGTGATTTTTGACACAATCAAGACGTCGAGAGGGACAGACGGGTCCGGCTTCCCAACCGGTGACATTACAATAGATGTGACGCCTGACACGACATTGACTGAGGCACCCGAGAAAGCACTGACTTGTGTTGAACAACGACGACGGTTTAACGATAAGCGATCGGCACTTTGCTTCGTAATGAAGCTGACCTGTGCACCCGTATCCAACAATGCACGAAGGGTATATCTCTGATTGTCGACTGATACGACACTTACAAGTAACGTAGATAGTAGTATGGACTGAGGGTTTTTTGCTGCCACAATCATCGAAGTTGGCGGCGGACCACTTGTGCCTGTGGGTGTACCGGCTGGAAAGTGCAGTAGTGAGTGATGTTGTTTTTTGCAGGACGAGCAAGTTTTTGTTGATGGACATTTTCCTACGGAATGCCCCGAACCCAAACAGTTGATGCATAGTTGATGGGTCTTCGCAGTTTGGAACCGTTCATTGGGACCTTGATCCGCGAAGAGCGAACACTGGCGTATTGAATGGGTCTGTTTACATAATGGACATGTTATGGTTGGAGATGGCGGATGGTTGGTGGTTGCAATATAAGCTTTGGCTGACGAGGAAAAATGCTGCCATTTTGGATTTTGTGATCTTGGAGTAGGTTTAACTTGACTAACAGGACCTGCAGGTGTCACCGATGAGTAGGCTCCTGAACGCGCTTCAGCTGACCGCACATGCAGGCGTAAAAAATCGACGAATTCGGTAACCTGTGGTTGGTGTCTGTCACCAACAATCATTTCCCACCGCGCCCGGAGGTCATAGTCTAAATATTTTTCAAACATATGTATTAATATGGGACTCCAGTGTCGTGTTGTTAGATCTAGGTTATCTAACGCTGCTGTGTGTTCCAAGATCGAGTGGATCAACGATTTAATTGAAGTGGCATCGTTAGATAGGACTTTATGCGGAGTCAGCAGAGCTTCAAGATGAACCCTGGCTAGATCTCTTTTGTTCCCATATCGACCTCGTAATATTTCCCACGCACTGTGGTAATTAGCGGCCGTCAAGGTAAGGTGTGCAACAAGTGATTGCGGTTCGCCTTCGAGAGACGTTTTCAGAAACTCAAATTTCTCCACATCGGGAAGATTGGGCGTGTGCGACAGTATCGAGTTGAAAAGATCATCGAATCCTTGCCACTCAGTGATTTTGCCAGAAAATGTTGGGAACTTTCGTTTTGGCAACTGATAATGGGCAAGGTTCCCACCGTAGGTTGATTGATTTATAGTCGAAGAGAGTGTTTGGTCATGGGGCGACGATATCGTGATGTGATGTACATCCGCGAAGGCGATGAGTTCGTAATAAAGATTATCGAATTTCGCAGAGAGTGTCCGACTGTCTTTGGTATCAGTGACATCGATCGGCGCTGTACCCTGACTAACAGCTATTTCCATGGACTGGATATCAGCTTCGACATTTCTACGGATTTCATTCACGTGTTGTACCATTTGTTCTATTTTGGCACGTTTGCCAGCATTTTGAGGGTCTGCCTTGTACTCTCCTGCGGCAGAGATGAAGGAGGTAACTCGGTCCGTACCACGGAGCACGCGAGCCTTGGCTTCAACATAACCCATTGAAACGGGAGGTGACATTGTGACAATGGTCAAAATAAGTCCGAGGTGACAATCAGAATATACGAGCACGGAACTGAATCAGTGAGACGTAGATGAAGTAGACAAATGAACAGCGAAGAATCAGAAACGAACGATACCAACCAATGATGTAGCGTGTAGATGCTACTTTATTTATTTTATTTTTTTAACGGTGATGGACAATAGGAAAAGGTCACGGTTTGTTTCCTTTACATCCGGTTCGAAGGACCAAATAATATGTATGAGAAGATGGAGGGTGTTCGGTGAAGGACCAGTCGACCTCAGTCGACGATGAGACTTTTTTTAAGTGAAAAATGCCCCTAGATATATGGTGTATAGGCAACTTAATGTGCCCCTGGCTTCAGTGCATAGGCAACCTAAGATGCCCGTGACGAAACCTCGCGGCGGCAGACAATACGAGGAACGAATGGAAGGAAGTGGTACAACGGAATTAAGGATGGTACAGTTTAAGTATGGGGCCGGGGTCCCTGTGGTCTGATCGGTCTGGTGCAATGACCACAGGGCGCAATTACAATTTAGGCTGAACTTAAAACTACTTAAAAACTACGGCAGCTGAAGGTCCGGTCCGGTGAGCACTGCAATCCGACGACCTGGAGCGGCCACTCACACAACGCACTGGGTTGCTGGCGGACTTACGCGCTTGACTCTGGCACCAGTCCCGAACTCGGGCAAGAGATTGGATTCCCCACGAAGACTGGCAGGAACGACGTAATAATATGTATGATGTACCTACTTACTCGATCGACTGCGGTTGCCAATGACCAGCACGAAGTATGCCGATATGTTGTCGTTTGACGTTGACGCAATGTCAACGACGGGCGATGATTTAATAACAAAAAAAAGGTAGATGATTTGAAGTTGCCGCAATGGCGTGAACAAAGATTTTATTTAGTTTTATGGTACAGGAAGAATATAACGTCTCGTGTATATAATATACGACGAGACGAACGAACGAGTAGGTACGAGTGTACGACAACAATGATCCGAATGATACGGCAAAAAACAATAGTGAAATTGATATCATTTTCAACGATATCAATTGTACATAATAATTAATTTAAATAATGATAATAAGACGGAATAATAGATAGGAGTAATAATTTTTAATGGCGCATTGCTCGGAGAGGAAAGCAGATAACACCGATTTCCGCACGGGCACGCGGAGCTTGCGGGGGTTCAGTCGTGGACCTTTGGTCGCTGCGACGCGGACGATAATGTCGTTACGATGTGTCGTAACAGTTAATATTAAGTTTTTCTAGAGTTAAATTAGTTTTAAGTAATGTTCTAGCGTCTGACGGCAAAATATTAGTCAAACTATCAACATTTTCTTTTAATCCAGCTAATAAATCAGAAACAGCGCTTGAAGTAATATTGTGTCTTATAGCCCAATTTCGTAAGAAGTTTTCAATACCCGAAGAGCGTGTTGTGGTTGATTCAGAACAATAAGTGTATGTATTATTCATTTGGAAACCTAAAGAAGAATATTCTTCAAATGTGGTTTCACTAGATGAAGAATCTAAAAAATTATTTTCATAATTGCTATCATTAAATTCAACTTCTTCATTTGAGAGATGATCATTGTCTTCAAATACTTGATTATATAAAATATACTGTGAACTATCCAAAGTATTAATATCATTAGCTGGGTCGGTATTAATCTTAGAAGTGTTAAAAGATTTTTTTGTATAAGAAAGCCTTGAAGAAAAATTATCATCTGAATTACTGGTCCAATTAGAACATCCTTCATCTTCATTCACCCGCCTCCTTTTACTTCGATCTGAGAGCTGATGAAATTTAGAACATCCCCTTCGAGGCATTGTAAGACTATCAAACGGGTTAAAAAACAATGGAATATAGTTTTTTTAATTTTTCTCATATATATTATGCAAGCCTATATTATAATTGTGACTATATAATATATTGTTCAGGGACGCATTGGAAAACATCTTTGTGTAGGAAAATTGTAATCAAATTATAAATTTAATCTTAAATACCTAATAAAACGTGTTCATAATATACTATTATAGATACTAACATTTGGTTTATAGATATTATATATTGAGATATTGTTAGGTAGTTAATAAATATTAAGGTTTACATTAACAAACAATAATGTATTACAATTAAAAAATTATTTTTAAGTACCTAGGTAGGTACTATTTGTAAATAATTTAAATTCAGTTGTTAAAGCCTTTAAAAAAGGCTGAAAGTGAGTTAGTAAAAATTAATAATAGTAGATGACAAAAAGAAACAGTAGGTACCTATTTAAAATTTGTGTAAATTACTTTTTTAAAATTGGTATAAAATATATAGGTATTAATTTTCATTAAATTAGCATTTATGTGTATGTATTATTATTGGGGTAACTGATTATATTAAACTCAAGTTCTGTGCCAACAACTATTCGTAAAGGGCCGAAGTACTTATTAATATTTTATACTTGTTTTAAGCGCTATTCATAATTGAGTAGGTTTTTATAATCCATTCTGAACAAAAACACATGAACTAGATAATATGGTAATCCTATATTATTATATTGCAACAATATATTATAACACAAAAAAAATATTCACCATAATAGTTTTGGTATTATGTGGTATTAAAGGTGATTAGGTACCTAATATATTATATTGTATAGTATAGTATACATCCAAAGATTAAAATGAGCTCAAGATAGTAATCTTTTTTTTGTATTTCTTATTTCTCTATCAAAAAACTTATTCATGAGTTGTTACTCGTTTAACACAATATCTAACAATAACAATAAAAACATAATTCCTGGTGGGTCAATCCATTTTATTATCAAATAGAGTTAATAATTATTATCAATAAGTCTAAATTATACTATTATTGAAATAAATTCCCACACTCAGGCCATACCTACTACAATCTACAGTGTATATATATAGTCAAATATTAGTCCAAACCGTCTCCATCGAGGTCGCCATATTACCTACTTAAAGTACCTACCTACATAAGACAATATGGCCTATAGGTACATACGCATTGAAATGGCAAGATCAGATAAATGCTCACTTCTATGCACACTATTATAAATGCCTATATTTAAAAGACGAGTATCTCACTGTATCATTACCAAGAGACAAATATCAACAAATTGGTTTTGGTATATTAAAACTTGTAATAATATATATGTACCAAGGCATTTTGATTGCATCTATAGACTATATTGCTTTACAATACAGTACTATAAAGGTCCTCGACCACTGCAGTGGTGGTACGTTGAAATGTAACCACACATTTTACCACCAGAAGACAATAGAATTTTAACGCCACCGCTGCAGGCAGCAGGCTTTAAGAGTATGAATTTCATAAACCCAATGATTTAGTACCTACTCAAATTCAAGTTTTCAATCAACCTCTTGTATATCATCATAATATAAGATAATATAATGTATTAAAATATATGAACACGTTTTAAAAACAAAATCAACTTTTAATTAATTATTATTAATGTAGGTATATTACCTGTTTTGGGTGGCGTATCTTGAGATCTGTACACACTTTCAACGCAGAGTCTACAGGTACACGAACACGACACTTTAATATAACGAAAATACAAACTACAGCTGTACTATAGTTAATTAACAAATTAAATTTTAGTGAACCGTACAACAAAATAATGCCCGAAATAATGACTAGGGTAGTGTCTGTCAGGCAGTCGGCAGTCACAGACAAAAGAAAAAAATATGTAACAATAACCACTACCAATTACCAAAATAGAAAACTTTCAAACCGATAAGAATCGGATAGGCCAATCGTGGCACATTGGGTTATCGGACAGACCGTCGTCCGTCACAATAAAAGACGTATGTCGTATACTCCGAAGCGCTGGAGATGGCAAATTTGTATCAATGTATATTGCAACTGTTATAAAATATAAACTGTTATTGCCAAGCCATTATGGTAAAAATAAAAACGGGTAATGGCGCGTCTTAAAATAATAATAAATTCATTAATCAATACTGCATTATAACGGTCTACGGAAAAATATTTCCTGCGCCCTGCAATTCATATAATTCTATATTATTTAGTGTGGATGACTGGCGGTTTTTTTACGTACAGCCGTACAGGCCACAAAAAGGAATGACAATGTTGTATACCTGTATCACTTATAATAATACTACTAATCAGTAATCACTGTCCATTACGCCTACATGACGTATATAATATTGTTATTTATGATTACAATTTTCGTGAAAACTGAAAAGTGAATATAAAATTAATTTATTATTATCACATTGCAATACTGCATTTTGTTAGGAACGCAATTTATTTTATTTAGTCCTAGATGTATATTAAATATAATATATATATAATATTAAATAATATGCGTTGGTAAATCGTAGGATACCTATAAGGATCGGTGGTACTTATAGGTATTTATATAGGAGGTCCAGAGCTCCCGCTTGTTTATTTATTCACATTTTTGGTTAACTATTTTATATAGGCGCTTACCTATATGTGTTACGATAGTATTGGTGTATCATATGTAGTTGAGCGCAGAGTATGATGGTTATTATAATATATTGAATAGATATCTTTTTTTGAGCTTATTTGTAAGGGTGTCTTTTTTCCGATTATATAATCTATTATTGTTGGGCATATAAAGCACGATTATACTAAGGTATTATACGTGGGTACTGAGTAATACGAACGTACGTTGAGATTGGGGAAAGTCCCGTTTTTCGTATAGTAGGTACCTATTGTACCTATATATATATATCATATATATATATAATATAGGTACTAGTATATTATATACCTAGTAAATATTATAATATCTCCTGCTATTTAGATTATGTAGGTTGTATACTACATGTCTACATTACTGCAGTAATTAATAGAACAACATTACTTATGTCAATGTAGTCATATTATTTTAAAATAATTATAATTAAAATGATTATAAAACTATATTATTAAAACATTTTACAAATAAATGTTTTTTAAATGTCTCTTACAAAAATGTATCACGAATTATATTTAATTGTTGTATAAAAACATTGCTACAAAAAATGTTTCAAAAATAATGTTTTAAA